AAACCCAAAATCCCAAGTAGAATCTAAGGGTGTTCCCAAAGGTGAGACAAATTTTGAGACCACCTCTTTTTTGTACAAAGAAATAGAAAATAGCGAAGGGAACAAATCCTTTAACGGTGTGTCTCCTAACCAAATATCCTCCCAAAAATGAATAGAGTTGCCAGAACAAACTTCATACCTGATAAAATTGAGGAATTGAGGAAGGGTGTTGCGAATAGCCTTCCAAGGTGCTGCTAGGTTAGCTTGCCTCGATACACCAACATCCCATCCATTCTCTGACCTCCCATGAATGCTTCCCACCACCTCATGCCACAATTTCCATTCTCTAACAGAGTTTGATTTTTTCTAGTTACCCTTCCAAGTCCCAAACCCCCCTCTTCTTTACTTCTGCACACAATTTCCCAATTAACCAAGTGATCCTTTTTACTTCAGAGCATTCCATATATGCAGGATTTTCAAAACTATTTTTCTCTCTTAAACCCAATTATCAAGCCACCTCCTAACCCAACCCCTTCTTTCACCTTGTTTTTCTTCAAATTTTGTTTACTTTCAACAACAGTCCACCATACTAGACCACCTGTTTGTCAAAATTCCCCAGAGGGAACCTAGGCTCATTCTAGGTTGTATAGAGATCATTCACCATCACCAAAGTTGCATAAAGAAAGTTCACTCAATAAACCATCAATGTGATTTTTGAAACTAAAGGGCATATGCATGGGGGTTGGCCAATCCTAGAAAACCTGAGAAAACACAAACAGAGAATTGCCACTCCTACCTTATAAAAGAAAAGATACCAACTCCCAATCTACTAAACATAGTTTTCAAGACGCCAAAGCGAGGTTGGGCATCAGGGGGGCGCCTTGTCGCCTAGGAGATGGACTCTTTTATATAGAAAATATAAATCCTAGGGTAGTTCCCTAGGTACCGTAGCCATATTTCCTTAGTAATTATTCATAATTTTCATAATAAAAGTGTAGAATTCATGTTAAAGTATAGAAAATCAACATATTCATGAGAAGAAAAAAAGGAAGGAAAAGAAAATTCAAAAAATATAGGGTTTGAACCCTTATTTTTGTTATAGGAAAAGAAGAAAAGAAAAAGTGTTGATTATAGTAGTAGTACTGTAGTAGAAAATGTGTTGATTGGACAAATTTTGAAGTTCTTCCTTACTTATTGGTTCAGGTTTTAAAGTCTTTGAGGGTTCAATACAGCATTTAGCAATGTTTGTATTGATTAAATCCTAACAAATATGAAAATAATAAAAACAAATTAGTATATAAACACACGAAATGAGTATTTTAGTTTAATTGTGCCTATTTTATAATTATAATGTCAAAAAATAAAGAATAAAAAAGTATTCTACAATACATAGTACAAAATTGCTAGGTGATTAAGCGAGGCGAGCCTCAAAGGGCGCCTTGTCACCTAGGCGTCTCCTTGACAACTATGCTACTAAATTAATGACAATTAAACTTTAAAGTCCTAGGCTGACTGGACACACAGCTTAGACAAAATTACCAAAATATCCCTGCTAAAAAAACAATCCATTTCCTAACTATTGTCATCATGCCAAATCAGAGCCTGTTGTTGAGCCTTTTTTTCCTTCATAAAGTCTTTAGTTTGCAGCTGTCTTAGATGGTGACGATTTATAAAAATAAAAAATAAAAAAAGTAAGGCATTGGCTGAAGTGTGTCATAGAAGGGATCACCATCAAGGTTATACATTGGCTGAAATCGCTGGACCTGTTCAAGGGCTTCTCTGTAGATGACTTGGAGGATGGAGCACAGTAGCAGCTTCCTCCTGCCCCTCTTTAACTATTCAAGAGGACTGGCCGCCCCCGTTATCTGTGGCTGTTAAGCTAAACTTTGATGGCAGCTCTTTAGGTAATCCAGGCCCATCCGGAATTGGGGGTGTCTTTAGAGATGGGGGAGGAAAATTCTAGCCCGATAGGATTGGGGGACTCTCTTAGAGCAGAAGTTCTGGCACTCCTAAAGGGGCTCAAACTGGCTAAACAGCTGGGTTTTCAGCAGTTGGAAGTGGAGGGAGATTCGAAACTGGTAATAGGTTGGATGCAAACAAACAGTTTAGGTGCCCAGTCCCTTAGACAACCTGTAAGGGAGATTGTGCAACTAACAAGGGAGCTTGCAATCTGGTTTAAATGGACTAGGAGATCAGCCAATGCAATGGCTGATACTTTAGCAAAGCAAGGAGTTAGTAGGCAGGACCTTTTTTGGGCCTGTTTGTAATTTTGATGAGGGATCACCTTGTTTTTGAAGGTGACAGTTTGTACTAAGTTTTTTTAAAGAATTAATGAAAGTTACCATTTCCCATAAAATTAAAAAAAAAAAAGAGGTAAGGCATTGAAGTGGGGAAAAGCGTTCAAGACAAACATAAAAGATGTAAAAATAACAGGATGCTCCAATTGAAAAAAAAAAGGCAACAAAAAAGAAATAGTCCTTTTGGATCTTGAGCAGTTCCATAGGTTAAATTTCTGCCTGAGGACCACTCTACCTATCTACCACATAGTTGATGCAATATATCTTCTTAGTTGGTCATGGAATATATGATCAAATTCCACATTATGCCCATGAAATCCCCCCCCCAAGGGCACATGCACACAGAGATCACTAATAATGTAAAACACTATAATGCAAACCTATCTCATAAAAAAGCATTTTTTATTGATTTGCCAGAAAAAAAAAATGTTATATAAGTAGGGAAGAAAGACATAAACATGATAAGGAATTAAGAAACCACATCAAGGACTAAGGTAAAAAAAAGGGTAGCCCAGCGTATGAGGCTCCCATCAATGCAAGGTCTGGGGAGGGACACACGTACGGAGCCTTACCCCTGCAGATACACAGAGGCTATTTCCAAGATAAAATGCATTTAAATTACTTCTCTAATCCTGGCAACCATGAAGGCATGACTTAATGATGTAGCAACCTGTAAGGTGCCAACTAGCTGGTTGGTGAAGTCTCCTGCTTGTTGTAGCAGAGACTCGGGACCGAATCCCACCTGCACCAAGGGGTGGGGGGGGTTAATGAGTTTAGGGGATGGGCTACCCCCCATGTGTAGCCCCAAGGATGAGCAAAAAAAATGACGTAGCAACCAGACTGGGGCCTACCCAAGCAAACTTTTGAAGAGGACATCACTTGCAATGGGCACCAAAGACAGGGCTAAAAAGTACTTCACAAAGACTTGTTTTGCTAACTAAAAGCCAAATGCTATAATCAGAAATGCCCTCCTTTCCCTGCCTTGCTGTTCTAATATGTCTGCTTCTAAGAACAACTTGTAGAATATATTAGCAAGGTTACTGAGGTACTCTAATCTTCATTTAAAATATGGATTACCAAAAAAAATCTTCATTTAAAATATGTGATTCATTGAGGAACCATTTTAAATAAGATACTGGTGGTACTGGGAAGTATCTATACATAATATAATCTCTACATGATTATATGAACATAACATATGTGAACCTCCCATAACAGTGAGAAAATATGTTTATCAAAAAAAAAAAACAGTGAGAAAATATCAACTTGCCTTCTGATTCAACTGCAACAGAGTATCTGTACCATGATTCAGTGTTTCCTCTGGAAGAGATGAAAGAACTAAACCCAAAAATGAATCTTTGTCAATGCCTTCAAGGTAATTTTGCAAAGCATCTATGTCTGTCTGAATAGGCAACCCTTTAGCCAGTGCATCTTCCAAGGCAATTGCTCCCTGTAAGATCCCAAACATAGAATTAATGCATAGAAGAGCGCTATGTATAGGCTGTCCAATCACTGAAATAGCACATCTCATCAATATGCCCATTCACAACCTTTTATGCTACTGGAACATGAAAGACAGGAGTGCAACTTGGATAGGCCAGGTTTATGGACAACCCAAGCCCAATGACCTGGACCTCAGAGGCTCAAAGCAGTCATAACCCAAGGTCAAAGCCCAAGCCAGTCTGAGCTAAAACTCCCTACCACAACTTGGGCCAGGCTTGGGTGGACCTTGGTGGTTTGCTCAGGTTGAGGACATTCTTGCTCGTGTTTTGCACTTCAACATTTTATTTGGGCTTTATGATCCAAAATAGAATTAGAACAAAAGAAATTATTTATTTTATCATTATATAATGCATACATATAAGTAGTTTTGGGAAAAAAATATATATGTATATATAACATGCATAATGTATGTATGTTCATACAATTTTGTGCATGTGCGCATGAGTGTGGACCTTGGGGGACCATATGCATAGTGTGAATATAATCTAGAGTTCACGTATATATAGCAAAAAAACACATTGTACATGTACTCATAAAAAAAGATATTATGTATATAACATTCAAAATGTATGTATGTTCATACAATTTTGTGCATGTGCGCATGAGTGTGGACCTTGGGGGACCATATGCATAGTGTAAATATACTCTAGAGTGCATATATATATAGCAAAAAAACACATTGTACATGTATTCATACATAGTTTAAAATGATAACATATTTCCTAATATTTTCATGACTTATTTCCATTTCCAAGGGTATGCACAAATAACATAACTGGAATTTAGTTCAGCATATCTCTTCATTTCCTTTATAAAATATTTTTTACTATACATAATTTAATAAAATAAACTTGATGCTTTAATACTTTAAACTCTTAAAAAAGATAAACAATTTTAAAGCATAAGAAGCAATATTAATATGGTTTGGTCAGTCAAGAAAGTGAGTGTTAGGCAGTTTATGTTGTATGGAGTAACGTGCTGAGCAGTCAAGAAACAACATGGAGGATTGGGAGGTAGATTCCATTTTAGGGGCTTTAGGTTGTGCCACCTCTTCTTGGCCTTTGACCTACCTAGGTCTTCCTTTAGGCGCCAACCCTAAAGAAAGTAGTTTTTGGACCCCTGTTGTGGAGAAATTCAAAAAATGCTTGGTGGCCTGGAAAAAGAATTACATCTCAATATGGGGTAGGGTGACTTTGATTAGGGCCACATTTGCCAATTTTCCAACCTACTCCCTTTCAGTCTTTAGGATTCCCCCAAGGGAGGCTAAGAAACTGGAGAAGGTAATGACAGATTTTTTGTGGAAACTAGGAGAGGTGAAAAAGGTTCATCTAGTTAGATAGGAGATAGTCAATAAAACTAAGAAAGAAGGGTGCCTGGGGATAGGGAACATGGTGTAGAAGAATGAAGCCCACCTAGGGAAATGGTTATGGAGATGGCCTCGGGAGAGAGATTATGGCATGAGGTGGTATCAAGTATTCATGGCTGCTTAGAAAATGGTTGGGATACCAAGATATCTTGTCGATCTACCCTCACAACACCTTGGAAGGCTATACATGGTATTCTCCCTCGCTTCCTTAGGTTTATTAGGTCTGATGCTTGCTCTGGTGATTCTATTAGGTTCTGGGAGGATGTTTGGGTGGGTAATCTACCCCTCAAAGATCGGTTCCCTTGGCTTTATTCTCTCTCTCTCTCTCCAAAATTGAGCCAATTGCAAAGTATCTTCCGAACCCGTTTATTCCCTTGTCTTCAAACTGGGACTTTGGATTTCGTAGGGGATTAAGGGATGGTGAGTTGACTTGTGTCACTAAGTTGCTTCATTTACTTGAGTTAGTTTGTTTGGACCCCACAACTTATGATCAAAGAGTTTGGAATCCCCTTCCAAAAGGTACCTTTACTTCTGCTTCTTTTCTAAAATCCCTCAATTCCAACCCAAGTCCCCGAGTGTTCCCTATTAAAAAAGTTTGGGTGAGACCTATTCCTCCAAAAATTATTGTGTTCTATTGGGAAGTTTACTATGGGAAAATCAATACTTTGGAAAACTTGCAGAAAAAGAGACCTCTTCTTTGTCTTTCCCCGAGCTGGTGTTCCTTATGTAAGGCCCAGAATGAGGACTGTTTCCATTTGCTGATATCCTGCTCCTTTGCTACTGCCTTATGGAGTTGGAGACTTAGTTTATTTGGTTGTAGGTGGTTTCCACCATCTGATGTGTGTGTTATTTAATCCATCTACTGTTGTGTAGCACACAAGAAGAGGTAAGTTCATGTGGAAATGTATCAGGGCAGCTACCTTGTGGACTCTCTAGAAGGAAAGGAATGCAAGAGTTTTCTTAGAGAAGGAAGGAAGCTTGGCTGAAGTGAAGGACTGCATTTTAACAAGAGCAATCCATTGGCTGAAAACCTTGGCTATATTTGTTGGTTTCTGTTTTGATGACCTTTGGAGGAATTGGTCAGCAATAGCTAATACTTCTATTAAGAAAAAAAGAAGTTTGATAGAATGGATACCTCCTCGAGAAGGTGTCATTAAGTTAAATTTTGATGGGAACAGCCAAGGTAATCCTGGGCCTTCGGGTATAGGGGTGTTCTAAGGAATAAGGATAGCAACATTATTTCCTTGTTCTCAGGACCGATGGGAGTGGGGGACTCTACAAGGGCATAAGTACTAGCTGTTGTACAAGGGATCCAGATTGCCAATCAGCTTGGGGTGGAACACCTCCTAATTGAAGGGGATTCTTAGGTGGTAACAGGGTGGATTCTAAACCTGGATGCTGGCATTTGGGGCTACAAAGACCTCCTCAAAAAAGTAAAGTGGTTAACTAGTCATATGAGAGTTGAGGTTAAATGGATAAGCAGGTCGGCTAATACTATGGCTCTGATTCTTTAGACAAACAGGGGGTTTCCAAGAAAGGTCTTTTTTGTGCTACCTTGAAACTTGTTCTAGTAAATTGGTAAGCTGTATTTAATTAGTTTGGAGAGGTCGCATCTCATGCCTTTCCTTGGAGACCTTGTACTTTTTATCTTTTTTTTTTTGAAAATGTAAGGTAATTTATTAAAATAAGAACCAGTACAAAGGAGCCTAGGCCATTAGAGGCTGCCTAGAGCCACCACAAATTATAGATACAAGCACTTCTGAGATCTAAACAACAGACTCAAATTCTGATTTTTAAACAACTCCGATGCCGACACCCAGCACAGAAGTTTACCCACAGCTATCTGCACCATTTCCTCTGGAGATTTAGCTTTGCCCTGAAAAGTTCTGTTATTTCTTTTAATCCAGATAGTCCAAAGCACCGCAGCCGGGATAGTCTTCCAAACCAAGATACCTTCCTTGCTGAGACCCTCAATCTGCCAACACAACTGCAGATCCTTCACAGAAATTGGCATTACCCAGCTGATTTCCAAAGCTTGGAGAAAATGCCTCCAAATATAATTCGAGACTGGGCAATGTAAGGCCAGATGTTCAGTAGTTTCTACTACCCCACCACATAAGCCACATGACATATCCGAAATCTGAATGCCACGTTTCACTAGATTAACTTTGGATAGACATTTATTTAAAGCCATTGTCCAGAGAAAAAACTTCACTTTAGAAGGATTGAATGAGCTACAAATCTGCCTAGCCGGAAAGTTTTCCTGACCTKAACTTATCAACTTACTGAACTTAGACTTGACAGAAAACATGCCATCAGCTTCCCATTTCCATCTCCAAGCATCCTCCATGTTTGGGTCAATCCTCTGGTTCTGGAGCAAGCCCAACAGAATTGCATACTCCTCAATTTCCTAGTCAAAGAGGCGCCTCCTACAAGTTAGGTTCCAACTAAAAGAGTTACCATCCACATTGAAATTCTCAGCCACCAAGGAGTCCTGATTTACAGAAATTTGATACAAGAGAGGAAAGGCATCTTTCAGACACACTTCAGAACACCAAGAGTCTTTCCAAAATTTGATTCTTTCCCCATTTCCAAGTTGTAACTGATTCCTTCCTCAAATAAGCTAGTGTTCTTCATTATACCTGTCCAAATGGAACTTATCCCTCTTGAAATAGGAGAATTGGATCTCCAATCACCCCAGTCCACTCCATATTTGTCCACAATCAGCTTCCTCCACCAAGCATTTCTTTCATTTGCAAATCTCCAAAGCCATTTACACAGGAGGGCAGAATTGAATTTCTTCAATTTTCTTATTCCCA